ATTGAAATAAGATACGCAATTGGCGCAAATTGCATATCTTGTTTTGATTTTAGAGTGCATTCTAGACATACCTTAAGACGTTCAGCCTTCCAGATTTTCTTTTTTTTTCATTACCAAGCTACAGAACTACCCAGATTACAACTCGATACAAGTTCTCCGATCACCGTGGTGGCAACATTTGTGACTAACTTTCCAAGGCATAACTGAAAATAGAAAGTCCCAATCAGTAGAGAATGAATGCAGTTGGATTCAATAGGATTGACAGCAAATTAAGGAAGTATGGGTTAGATAAATGGACTGTAAGGTGGCTGGAAAGCTGGTGGGATTGTCAGGCCCAACGGGTAGTGCTCAATGGCTTGATATCAGGTTGGTGGTCGGTTTCTAGAGGAGTGCCCCAAGGTTCGGTTCTAGGACCTGTTTTTTTCAACATGTGTATTAATGACCTGGAAGAGGGGATGGACTGCACCCTCCATAAGATTGCAGATGACACTAAACTAGGGGGAGAGGTAGATACATTGGAAGGAAGGGATAAGATCCAGAGTGACCTAGAGAAATTGGAGGGTTGGGCCAAAAGAAATTTGAGCAGGTTCAACAAGGACAAGTGCAGAATCCTGCACTTGGGACGGGAGAATCCCAAACATTGGTACAGGCTGGGGACCGACTGGCTAAGTAGCAGTTCTGCAGAAAAGGGCCTGGGGGTTACAGTGGATGAGAAGCTGGATATGAGTCAACAGGGCGCCCTTGTAGCCAAGATGGCTAATGGCATATTGGGGAGTGTTAGGAGAAGCGTTGCCAGCAGATCCAGAGAAGTGATTATTCCCCTTTATTCGGCACCATGGAGGCCACATCTGGAGTATTGTGTCCAGTTCTGCCCCCTGCCCCCACTACAGAAAGGATGTGGATGCATTGGAGAGCGTCCAGCAGAGGTCATCCAAAATGATGAGGAGGCTGCAGCACATGACCTGTGAGGAGAGGCTGAGGGATTTGGGCTTACTCAGTCTACGGAAGAGAAGAGTATGTATTAAATGTAGAAAAAATGAATGCTCAAAATCCAGGGGAGGGAGAGAGAGGAAGAACGAACCAACTCTGGTCTCAAGAACTCAAATGGGATGCGTATTGTCGTAGGCCAGGACAGCAATACAGTAAATTCAGGATTCACTGGTGTGGTGGCCTGACATGTGTCCTGCTCCATCAGGGGTAATAAATATTCAGCTGCGTGCGTTTGTACCCAGGACAATGGACTTGGCTCAGTCACTAATATGGATTCACTATTGTTCCCAGGCCAGTCAAAGAGTGAAATAGAGGTTCCCCAACATTTATAGGGAATAAGCAGAAATGAACAATCTACGATACGCACCGTAGGTACCATCTTACGCATTGCTAACACATTGGGTGCCTCCCCTTGGACTTTCCTCCAAAACATCCCTATTCACCATCCCTTGTTCTGCTTTCTCTCTTGTTCCAAACTATTTTATCATGTGCTTAGTGGGGAGTCCTTGTACTGTGCTGATGGAATTGGAGCTTACGCTATGATTTTTTTAAAACTTTTGAGCATTTTAATTTTCTTCCTATCAAAGAGAATAATTTTCTCTTGTTCCAGCAGATGAAATACATCAGGTGAACAGAGATTTCCAAAGATCAGGAGGTCTTCCTACATTAATTCCCTTTCCAGTGAAATTTCCTCTATTGCTATGTTAACATTCCTCCTGTCTCTGCTATTTTCCCTTTTGAATCCATTGGGGTTTTTTGACTTCCCCTTTGAGTCTAGAAATAAGACTGTCGTCGTCGGATTGTTTTTCCATTTGAAAAATAAACATCTTTCCTCAATGCCATAATTTCAAATTCCCACCAGCAGAAATCTCAAGAGAGGTAACATCAACTCACAGGAAAGAGAAAGACATAAATAACCGCCACACGGAAAAACAACGACATACAGCAAGAAGTGACGCATGCTCCAGACAGCCAGGTAGAACCCCAAAGCTCCATTGACTCGGATAATTGAAGGCTATAGGTAGTAGAAGGGACTGGGAAATGTCGTGCAAAGACTGTATCTCACAAAATCTGAAGGAAGGGTTCATGGGATGGAGCAGATGTGAGAGAGAAAGGGGTTGTCTGCAGACTGTCTCTAGCAAAACATGCCCAAGAAAGAGCAGTGGACATCTCTCAGATTTAGAACATCAGAATGGACAGAGTGGGTCAGACCAAAGGTCCAACTAGCCCGGCATCTGCCCACCATGGCCAATGCCAGGTACTTAATGAGCACATGAGGTAATCATCAAGCAACCCATTTCCTTCCACCCATTCCCAGCTTTCGGCAAACACCCTGAAATTGGGCCCTACCATTCTGGCTACGAACCATTGATGGACCAATCCTTCACAAATGCATCTTGATGACTGGTTCCGTGGGTGTATCCTTTGTTTTCCACTAAGTGAGTTTTATTGCTCATAATTTTTTAAATGTCTCTCTTCTGAAGTTTAATACAGACAAAGGCAAAGTGCTCCACTTAGGAGGGAACAATCCGTCTCTCACACACAGAATGGGAAGCGACTGTCTAGGAAGGAATCCTGCAGAAAGGGATCTAAGGGTCAAAGTGGACCGCAAGCGAAATATGAGTCAACAGTGTGATGCTGTGGCAAAAAAAGCAAACATGATCCTGGGCTAGATGTATAGGAGTGTTGTGAGCAAGACACGAGAAGTCGTTCTTCTGCTCTACTCTGCACTGATTTGGCCTCAGTTGGAGTCTTGTGTCCAGTTCTGGGCACCATGTTTCAGGAAAGATGTGGAGAAATTGGAGAGGGTCCAGAGAAGAGCAACAAGAACGATGAAAGGTCTAGAGAACATGAGCTATGAGAGAGGACTGAAGGAATTGGACTTGTTTAGTTTGGAAAGGAGAAGACTGAGAGGGGACATGAGAGCAGTTTTCAGGTATTTAAAAGGGTGTCACAAGGAGGAGGAGGAAAAATTGTTCTCCTTGGCCTCTGAGGACAGGACAAGAAGCAATGAGCTTAAACCGCAGCAAGGGAGGTTTAGGTTGGACATTAGGAAAAACTTCCTGCCTGTCCGAGTGGTTAAACACTGGAATAAATTGCCTAGGGAGGTTGTGGAATCTTCATCCCTGGAGATATTTAAGAGCAGGTTGGACAGACACCGGTCAGGGATGATCTAGACGGTGCTCTGTCCTGCAATGAGGGCAGGGGACTGGACTTGATGATCTCATGAGATCCTTGCCAGTTCTAGGGTTTTATGTTTCTCTCTGTCCGTGTTCGTTACTCTGGATTTCTGTGTCTCTGCCATACGTTTATGTAGAACCAGTGTCATTCTACCATTGCTACTTCTGGTGCAGACACAATTTATATGACTGCACCAGAAATCAATGCATGAAAAGACCAGAAGGTTGAATGTATCTAGGGGTGTATCTAGACTGCAGGGTTTTGTCGACAAAAGTCTACTTTTGTCGACAAAACTATACCTGCGTCTACACTGATGCTGAGTTCCGTCGACATAACATCAACAGAACTCAGCAGGTTTGTTGACGGCTATCTATCTATCTATCTATCTATCTATCTATCTATCTATCTATCTATCTATCTATCTATCTATCTATCTATCTATCTATCTATCTATCCCCACATCTATCTATCTATCTATCTATCTATCTATCTATCTATCTATCTATCTATCTATTCCCATACACAAATCTATCTATCTATTGGGTCTATAATGCCATCTTTTCGCTCCAATTTTTCATTTTTCTCCAAGCATATTCTCTCTTCTCCACAAAAACACTTTTATTTCTCACCCCATGAGTTTTCATTTTTCATTGGATACATTTCATGATGTGGGATTGGATTCCAGTCTCAGTAAATCCACACAAAGGTGATGATGTTTTTCCCTGGAATAATGGAGATCAGGGAAGAAAAACATGGGTGTGTTTGTGGGGGGATCTTTGCTTCTCAGCTGCATTGATCAATTGCCGTACGTTATTTTATTGATTCTGTTGGGAGAGGAGACCTGCAGAGCTCTTCAAACAAGCCTCAGCCTGAGCCTCTTTGTTTTCATACTAAACTGCATCTGGGAAGCATAAGTCTCAGCTCTGGTAGACCTATCCACGCTATCTTTGAATCAGCTCCACCTCTTAAAGAAATGAGGTTTCCTCTGCTGATGGACAACTTCGTTTTCCTAGTGGAGTGACGCAGTGGTGAGAGACATGGCTGCCGGTTTCCCGATATTGCGCAGCATGGGGTTGGGTTGGGAGGGAATGAGGGTGATACACAGAGGGGAGGGCTCTGCGGTGGGGCTGGGGGTGAGGGGTTCGGGGTCTGAGAGGGGCTCAGAGCAAGGGCAGAGAGGAATCCTTTCAAGTAGGGATAAGAGATCCTCTGGAAAAGGGCTTTATTCCGGAGGATCGCGCCAGTCTAGACTCTGGGAGGGGCTCAGAGCAAGGGCAGAGAGAAGAGGAGGACAGGTGAGGGATGCAGTGCGGGGCTAGGGCTGGGCCAAAGATTGGAGTTGCAGGGTGAGGGCTTTGTCTGTGGATTTTCCTCCAACCCTCTCCCTGCTGGCAACACTGAGTTCCAGGGTGGTCTCCCCCGCCAGCCAGGACTGTGAGTGCCGGGTAGGGGATAAATGGGGCAATTTCCCAGGGTCTGGGCAATTTGAAAGGGCCCATATGCCAAGGCAGCTGCTTCTACTGTGCGGAAAAGAGGCTTCTGATGTGCCCCATGCAGGATTGGGGGATATCAAAAGTGTCTCTGAATCCAGCCGGGTTGCACCTGCCCCAGGGCATGTCTGGGAAGGTGTGCCAACAGGTGCTTGAATCTTCTTCAGGCTGGGTGGGAGCATTGGGACCCCTGGCTGAGGTGAGCCAGGCCAGGAGGTAGGGCCAGGAGAGGAGCCAGGCCAAGAGGTCCAAGGACACCTGCTCCAGGTTGTGACCACCTCAAATGGAGGATGAGCTCTCCAGAGATAGTGAACAGTTTCCTTTTTCTAGGTACGAACGATGGAGAAAGCTGCAGGAAGAAATGGAACGCCCATCAATCAATTCATCCTTTTAGGGTTTGGGAACAGCCCAGAACTACAGCCCCTACTCTGTCTTGTCTTCCTAGTGATCTACCTTGTGACCGTGGTTGGGAACCTCCTCATCGTTGCGCTAGTTGTGACTGATCGGCACCTCCACACCCCCATGTACTTCTTTGTGGGAAACTTGTCCTGGTTGGAGACCTGCTACAGCTGCACCATCCTGCCCCGGCTGCTGGCCAGTCTCCTGACGGGGGACAGGACCATTTCTGTTCAGGGCTGCATCGTTCAATTATATTTCTTTGGTGTCACATCAGCTACAGAAAATCTGCTGCTCACGGCCATGTCCTACGATCGGTATCTAGCCATCTGCCATCCCCTCCGCTATGCTGCTCGCATGAACGGCCGTTTCTGTTGCCAGCTGGTGTCAGGATCCTGGATAAGCAGCTTTCTGGGCTGCACCATGGGCCATATTTTCTTCTTGCAATCAACGTTCTGCGATTCCAAAGAAATTGACCATTTCTTTTGTGATGTATCACCCGTGATAAAATTGTCTTGTAGCGACACCCGGACTCACCAAACCTTCACGTTTATTATCTCTGCCGTGGGGACAATTATACCCTGTCTACTGACCCTGGCGTCCTACGTTTGTATCATCACGGCCATCCTGAGAATCCCGTCCAGCACTGGGAGGCAAAAGGCCTTTTCCACCTGCTCCTCCCACCTCATTGTGGTGACTGTTTACTACGGGACCGTGATCGCTGTCTATGTGGTTCCAACAGATAATGCTCCCAAGATCCTACACAAAATATTCTCTGTCTTCTACACAGTCCTGACTCCCATGATCAACCCCATCATCTACTGCCTGAGAAACAAGGAGGTCAAAGAGTCCCTCAGAAAAACGATTGTGAAACTGGTGGCGCGCAGAAACTGGCATGGAGTCTGAAAGGATGGAGTTTGGTGTATGATAAAATAGAGATGAACTGATACAGTTTTTTTCCTCCCTCCTTCTCTTCCTTCCTTCCTATCCCCATTTCCCATCTCCTCCCTTCCTTTCTGGCCCTACAAAAGAAGTGGAATATTTTAGAGTGTTTTTGTTGTCGTCTTCCCCTTTCCTTCTTTTTTGGGTGATAAGGAAAAGGACAAATCTGTGAGACAATCTGGGGGGAAATCTTACCAAATACATCCCACGAATACTGGTGGATACGGGGGGTTCTCCAGGCATCCGCAAAGGGACATTTGATTGTGGGGCTGGTCTGCTATGTTTTTGCCTCCACTCTGTACTAACATTCCAAGGTGTGTGTGTGGGAAGGGGGAGGGGGAGTACAGCCTCTCCCCTAGCTACGAACGAGTTATGGAGGAAATGCTTGGCCCTAACGGGATTTGTTCGTAACTCAGACCCCATTGAGTTACATACATACCGCACTGTTCGTAAGCGCATGTTGCGTTCATAACTTGGGGACCACCTTTTTGACCACTGCATTGGATCTTTGGTCGTAAATGCGGACGGTCGTAACTCAACCGTGCACAATTCATATGCTTTGTTGTCGTGACAGGACAAATAAATCAAAGAAAGCAAAGGAAGCTGGAGAGCACCATTAGTTCACTTGGTGGTACCAGAAGGATGTACAGGTTTAATTAAAGATGAGACCCAGTTCAGCGAGGGCTAACATAAAGGGAGACTTTAGGGCAGTAAAATGGAAGACAGTGAATGGTGAGGAATTTTGATAGATCACACCAGTAATACACTGTGGTGTATTGGACTAAGTACAGGGTAATTGTGCGTAGAGACCCTCACCACCTCTGTGTCTTTGATACACTTGACATCTCGTCCTTGGAGAAGAGTGACATAAATTCAGGTCTGGGACGCCATGTGCTTGATCGACTAGGGTATGTTAAGCACCATCACTGCTCTTCAGAGCCCAAGAAAAGTGACGTATGTCATTCCATTTCTGCGAAGAAAGGAGGAACCACGCTGCATGCTGCTGAGATCCAGGAAATTTCAACACACACATGGCTAGGGCCCTGGGATCTAACACAGCTACCTGGGAAATCATAGCATCATAGAATCCCAGGGCTGGCAGAGTCCTCAGGAGGCATTGAGTCTGACCTCCTACCCAAAGGAGGAGCAACTCCAACGCAATTATCCCAGTCAGGGCTCTGTCCAGCCAGGACTGAAACACCTCTAGGGATGGAGATTCCACCCCCTTCCTAGGGAACCCAACCCAGAGCTTCACCACCCTCCTAGGGAAACCTCCCCCATGGCAACTTGAGACCATTGCTCCTTGTCCAGATGTAGGCCTTCATGTTCTGTCATTGTTCCGGGACATTCTCAACCAGGCACACAACAATATTCACTCCTGAATACCCAGCCATGAGCCCCTAGGAATACAGAGACAATGATGAACACTCCCGTACACACAAGCGCTCCTAGATTAGGCACCAATGTACCACGTTCTAATCCACCAATGCGTGGCCAGTGACAAACTGTGAGACAATGACAAACATATTCACATCTTGTAGGTTCACCTACACACACACAAGGGCACAAACACGTATGCATACTGCTTTAGCCCTAGAAATAGTCCAAATAATGTACACTGGCAAAAACATATTCACATTTAGAATCCCAGGGCTGGAGGAGACCTCGGGAGCCATCGGGTCCAGCCCCCTGCCCAACGCAGGACCAACCCCAACTCAATCAACTGAGACTTTATTCCCACCTTAGGGTTCTATGATTCAATGACTCTTTGAAAATCTCAGCATAGCTTCTCTCACATGCCCTGCTGTCACACCAGACAGAAATACCCTGTATGCAGAGCAATCAAAGTTGACTCATGTTTTGGAGTGCTTATTTTCTGTACATTTTATTCCTTCATTTCATTTTATTTGGATGGCAGGCACACCCATCATTGAAACCCAAATATCTTTCCAGACGATAGGGCTATGTCGAGACTGAATTGCTTTTCCGGGATACCTGTGGGATCTTGGAAAAGCAATGCCACAAGGAACGCATCTGCTTTTCCAAAAAAATAGTCAAAAAAGCAGACACGCTTTTTCACCATCCCTGTGAACCTCAATCTATGGGGCACAAGGGACGAAAGAGCAGGTTTTTCCCAAGTGTGGCTGTGACGTAGTGTGGGTAGCTTGCTGGTTTCTAGGCTTGGGCTGTGGGTGACCCCCACTGGCTGCTGCCGGTACCACGGCCCAGCCGAGTAGCTGATGGGACAGGGAGGTAACCTGTTCTACCAGTTACCCCCCAGGTCTCCCTGGAACAAAGGAACAAAGGAAGGTGGAATGCCACCCCTGGCTGGGGGGCAGAGCTGGAAGGGACGGTCTTTAGTTTCTGTCTGGGAAGCAGGGGAGAAGGAGCTAGGGAGGGGGGCTGTGATTGTATGGCCCAGCCACCCCCCATCTCAAGGGGGGGCACTGAGGCCTCTTAGCCCCAGTTCCAGATAACATCTGCGCTGTGCTGTATCCTGGAGAAGCAATAAACTCCCTCTATTCTACTGGCTGGTGGAGTCTGTCTGTGCCATTACGGGGATGCAGGGGACGGGAAAACCCCAATGCACCATCAAGTGGCTCCGCGTAGACGTGCCAAAATTCGGGAAAGCCTCTTTTGAAAGAAAAACGGAAAAATGACCTGCAATTTAACTCTGCAATGTAGGCGTCACCTAGATGTTTTTCTTTGTCTTCTACATGGGTGAAGATCACATGGGAAGGATGCTGATATACAAAATCCCAGCCCCAAAAGTCTGTATTTAACGTTCAATGCCACTGAAGGGGATTAGGGGGATATATCCATAGCTCCACTGGGTTCACCTCCATTAGAAGCTCCACCTCTTAAAGAAATGAGGTTTCCTCTGTTGATGGACAACTTCAGTGGAGTGACGCAGTGGTGAGAGACATGGCTGCCAGTTTCCTGATATTGCACAGCATGGGGTTGGGTTGGGAGGGAATGAGGGTGATACACAGAGGGGAGGGCTCTGCGGTGGGGCTGGGGGTGATGGGTTTGGGGTCTGAGAGGGGCTCAGAGCAAGGGCAGAGAGGAATCCTTTCAAGTAGGGATAAGAGATCCTCTGGAAAAGGGCTTTATTCCGGAGGATCGCGCCAGTCTAGACGCTTTTTTCCGGCTTTTCCCCAAGCCGGAAAAAAAGCGGCAGCCATGTTTATTTAAATCCCGCGGGGGATATTTAAATCCCCCACGGATTTCCCTATTCTGAAGTTGGAAATTAACATGCCTCTTCCGGAGAAGGGGCCAATGTAGACGTAGCCTACATGTCTCTGTCACCAGAGGCATGTAGTTTAGACATACCTATGCTGACCTATGAGCTTTATCCTAGGTTTATTTTTTTTAATTTGGGAGCACTGAATTCGCCCCTTCCAATGAAATAGAATTAAGATTGTTGAATTTTCATGTATCAGAGGGGTAGCTGTGGATCTGCAAAAGCAACAAGGAGTCCTGTAGCACCTTAGGGTATGTCTACACTACCCTCCTAGTTTGAACTAGGAGGGTAATGTAGGCATACCGCACTTGCAAATGAAGCCCGGGATTTGAATTTCCCAGGCTTCATTTGCATAAGCGGGGAGCCGCCATTTTTAAATCCCCGCTGGTTCGAACCCCGTGTAGCGCGGCTACACGGGGCTCAAACTAGGTAGTTCGGACTAGGATTCCTATTCCGAACTACCGGTACACCTCGTTTATTCTTTTACGTAGGGACTGTCCAGTTTGGCTGATGCATATAGCAGAGGAACATTGCTGGCACATGATGGTGTATATCTCATTGGTAGATGTGCAGGTGAATGAGCCAGTGATGGTGTGGCTGATCTGGTTAGGTCCTGTGATGGTGTTGCGGGTGTAGATATGTAGGCAGAGTTGGCACGGAGGTTTGTTGAATGGATTGATTCCTGATTTAGAGTTACCATGATGTGGTGTATAGTTGGTGGTGAGAATTTTCTTCAGGTTGGCGGGTTGTCTGTGGGCGAGGACTGGCCTGCCTTCCAAGGCCTGTGAAAGTGAGGGATCATTGTCCAGGATGAGTCGTAGATCACTTATGATGTGTTGGAGAGGTTTTAGGTGAGGACTATAGGTGATGGCCAGTGGCGTTCTGCTGGTTTCTTTCTTGGGCTTGTCCTGCAAGGAGACTTCTGGGTACACGTTTGGCTCTGTCAATCTGTTTCCTTATTTCCTCATGCGGGTATCATAGTTTCAAGAATGCTTGGTGAAGATCTTGTAGGTGTTGGTCTCTGTCTGAGGGGTTGGAGCAAATACGGTTGTACCTCAGTGCTTGGCTGTAGACAATGTATTGTGTGGTGTGTCCAGAATGGAAGCTGGAGGCATGAAGGTAGGCATAGCAGTTGGTAGGTTTTCAGTAGACTTTTATCGACAAAACTATACCACACTGCCTTTGAGTTATGTCGACATAACATCGACAAAACTCAGCAGTTTTGTTAACGTATGTAAACCTCATTCTACGAGGAATAACGCTTTTTGTCGACAGAGTTCTGTCCATAGAAGGCATTATTGCATCTACACTGGCCTTTGCGTCCACACTGTTATGTTGACAAAGCGGCTTGCTTTGTCGACAGATCTGGATGTCGTCTAGACGCTCTTTGTCGACAGAAGCTTTGTTGACAGTATCTGTTGACAAAACTTCTGTCGACAAAACCCTGTAGTCTAGACCTAGACTCCTTGTCGCTTTTGAAATTTCGTATAATTCTAGCAGATCTACTCATCGAAAACCTCAAACAAAGCAAGAATGCCACTGATCGCAGGAGTGATGTGGGCAATAACTTCCTTCATAAGGAGACATTTAACTTTTTCCAGTTGCTTTGTCTTTGAGTTAATAGTTCTCCCATTTCTGTTGTTTACCCTTGGGCATCAGTTGCTTTCGATAACTTCTCCTGAGGGGGTTCGTAATGAGACTATCCTTGCACCATTGTTTTGCCCTTAAAAAGAAAATTATCTTCTTATGCAAAAACTTTGAATTCCCACCAGCAAAAATGTCAAAGGAGATGACTTCATCTCCCAGACAGAAGGAATTGCCCACCAGGAACGACATATATTTCTGTGAACAGCAATAACAAGAACACACAGCTAGAAGTTCTGTGAGATCCACACATACAGGTAGGAGCCCAAATCTGCATTTGCTCAGATAACTGAGGACTAGCAATAGGAGTGGAAAATGTAGTGCAGTGTCTATAACTTTCTCTCTTAATGCATGACTGACGGGTTAGTGTGAGGAGCACATGGCAAATGATCACCAGTGAGAAAGTGAAATCAGCACAGTTACATATCTGCTCAGGCTTCCACCATGGGAGAGAGAACAGGACTGCGTGTAAATCAGTGTAGATGGGTTATAGGAAAACCTGGGTTTTATGTCGAGTATTGTGCCCAATTCTGGGCCTCCCCATTACAGAAATTATGTGGGCGCATTGGACAGGGTCCAGTGGAGGGCAACCAAAATGATGAGGGGACTGGAGCACATGACCTACGAGAGATTTGGGCTTATTTAGACTACAGACAAGTGAGGGGGGATTTGAGAGCAGCCTTCAATTCCGCGAAAGGGGGGTTGCAAAGATGATGGAGAGAAGCTGTTCTCAGTGGGAGAAGATGGCAGAATGAGGAGCAATGGTCTCAAGTTGCAATGGGGGAGGTCTAGTTTGGATATTAGGAGAAATGATTTTCCTAGGAGGGTGGGGAAGCAATAGGCTGGGTTCCCTAGGGAGGGGGTGGAATCTCCTTCCCTAAAGGTGTTGAAGTCCCGGCTTGACCAAGTCCTGGCTGGGATGATTGAGTTGGGGTTGGTCCTGCTTTGGGCAGGGGGCTGGACTCGATGACTCATGAGGTCTCTGCCCACCCTGGACGTCTAGGATTCTATGAATAAGAAAGGACATCAGCTGGCTCTCATATTAAAACATAAGAGTGGCCAGACTGGGTGAAAACAAAGGTCATTCTAGACCAGTGTCCTATCTTTGAACAGCGGCCAATGCCAGGGGCTTTAAGCGCAATGAGAAGAACAAGCAATTGATCCATTGCCAGCTGATGGCAAGTGAGATGAGGGCCACCATTCTTGTGCATCTGGGCAAATAGTCATGGATGGCTCAGTCCTCCCCAAAAGTATCGGGTGTGTAACGTAAGAGTCTCGTTTCTCGCCGTGTGAGCTCTATTGTTTGTAACAATTTTGAAAACCCTTTTTTCCTTGGTTGCTCTTTGTGTGTGTGTGCTATTCTGGATTTCCATTTTCTATCACATAGTTGGGATGGACCAAAGTCAACCCATTCTTTCCACTGCCGGTGTAGACTCAGGTTATATTAGTGCACCGTAAGACAGTGGATGAAAAGACTGGAATTTAGGATAGGTCTACAAGCGTGCAAGGGAAAAGGAAGGAAGAAATCACAAAACTATGTGTCCTGATTTAACAGTGAGGATCTGCTGCATCTCTTTAAACTAATCTGTAATTTATTGCCCAAAACCTTTGGATAAATAAACTCTCTCTCTCTTTCTTTCGTGCTCTGTATTTTTTTCTCATTCTGCCTCTTTCTTTCTTTCCTTTTTTCCTAAAATTTCTCATTTTCTCTCCCTTTTGGATGAAAATGACTCACCATTTCTCCCTTGATGAGTTTTCATTTTTATTTTTCTCCTATTTCTTTATACAGCGTTGGATTCTGATCTCAGCGGCACTTGTGTAAATCCACATGAAACTGACTCAATTTACCCTTGTGTAACTGACATCAGGAAAAAAGAACCCAGGGGGTGAGCTTTGCTTTTTGTGCAAGTCTCTTTGTTTCTCAGCTGAATCAATCAGCGCTCTAAATCAGTGTTTCTCAACCTTTTATTTAATAAAGTACCCCTTTTTCAAGAAACTAATTATAAGTAACCATTTTTTTAAAAAAATTATAAGTACCCTCTTTTAAAAAATAAATGTATATTAGTACCCCCAGTACCTACAGTTTTCAAACACAGAAAAAAAAATTCTATCATTGCAACACAACTTAATCGTAGATGGTTGGGCAATGAAATTTTTGGAGATAAAAAGTACCAAAATAATAAAGCACTGTAAAACTTAAAACAAACATTCAGTATTCTACAAATGTCAGTTGTGTTGACATAACCCCCCCCCCAGTCTTCTCTTGAGAACCCCTAAGAGTACCCGAACCACTGGTTGAGAAACACTGTGCTAAATTATTGTTTTAATCAGCTGGAATGAAGGGCAGCTGGTTAGAACTTCCTACACACAGCTTCTTTGGTGTTTTGGTTTGTGTTTTATGGGGGATGGTTATGCTGCATCTAAGCAGTGCGATTCCCTGCCTGGGTAAACTTCCCCACAATATCGTGGATGGAGTTATGGTGCTAAAACTATCAGCGAAGTCTCGGTAGCACAGACTAGCTGCCTGACACAATCGTATCTGAGATCTTAGGAACGTACACAAGTGGCCACTACAAGGCATTGTCTGGGCTGTCAAATTCAAATGGCTAATTTTATCCTGCTAGCGTGCTCAAACCTAGTGCATCTCCACCCGGCCAAGCTGGGAATTTCATCTCCTCTGGCTGAACGCCAAATCGCTTCCGTTTACAATCTATTGACATTTTACGTCTTTTAGCTTTGTTGATATGACACTGATGGGATAAAATTACTTCAAAACCCTGGTTAAAAGTCTTTATTGAATGTTCAGGGGAACTTAAGGGTCTTAGACTGGGCATTTCTGCAATTCATTAGGGTTCCAAACTCTTGGCTCATCTTGGCTGGAAGTGTAACACCTAAATGCAACACGTCTTCCTCTGTTTATTGACATGTTTCCAATGGAGAGATATAGGAGAATGATGTGTCCTACTCCAGGTTGGGTGCGCTCCATCAATATTTAACGGTTTTCTTTTCCTAGATACATTTTATGGAGACGGCGGAAGGAAGAAACCAAACGCCCATCTCAGAATTCATCCTCCTAGGGTTTGGGAACGGCCCCGAACTGCAGCCCCTGCTCTTCATGCTGTTCCTAGTGATCTACCTTGTGACCGTGGCTGGGAACCTCCTCCTCTTTGTGCTAGTTGTGACTGATCGGCACCTTCACATCCCCATGTACTATTTACTGGGCAACTTGTCCTGGTTGGAGACCTGCTACAGCTGCACCATCCTGCCCCGGCTTCTGGACAGTCTCCTGACTGGGGACAGAGCCATTTCCATTAAGAATTGTTTTGTGCAGTTGTATCTCTTTGGCGTCCTGTCCTCTACAGAAAATATGCTGCTTGCGGCCATGTCCTTTGACCGGTACATAGCCATCTGCCACCCTCTCCGCTACACTGCCCTGATGAATGGCCGGGTGTGTTGCTGGCTGGTGGCCGGGGCGTGGCTAGGTAGCTTTCTTCTCAGCACGATAGTAGACAGTTTGTTGTTCCAATTAACCTTCTGTGGTTCCAAAGAAATCGACCATTTCTTCTGTGATTTTGCACCCATCATAAAACTGTCCTGTAGCGACACCCGGACTCTGGAGCTGGTAACCTTTGTTGTCGCTGCCGTAGGGTTCACTGCCCCCTGTCTACTGCCCCCAATATCCTATTTTTTCATCATCTCCACCATCTTGAGGATCCCGTCCTCCTCCGGCAGGAAAAAGGCCTTTTCCACCTGCTCATCCCACCTCATCGTGCTGGTAGTTTTGTATGTGACCACGATCACCGTCTATCTGGTCCCCACAGCCAACACGCCCAAAGTCGTACACAAAATATTCTCTGTTTTCTACACAGTCCTGACTCCCTTGATCAACCCCGTCATCTACAGCGTGAGAAACAAGGAGGTCAGCGAGTCCCTGAGAAAAGCCCTTCTGAAACTCTCTGATTTTGGAAACAGGCATAGAATCTGAAAGGACAAACTTTTGCACAAACTAAATAGAGGTGGACTGATAAAATGTTTTTTTTTAAATACAGTCTATATGAATCCTTGAGAACAGGGTTACTCTTTCTTTCTTTCTTTCTTTCTTTCTTTCTTTCTTTCTTTCTTTCTTTCTTTCTTTCTTTCTTTCTTTCTTTCTTTCTTTCTGCTCAGGGCTAGGGCTGGGAATTTGTCAGATGAAAGAGTCTCGGCAGGTGTTTGAGAGGTATGGGGGACTGAATGTAGGCTTTGGGGAAGCTGAAGTAAGAGCTGGAGGTGAGGGGTGCAAGAGTTGGACAGGGGGTGCAGGCCTCAGGGCAGACAGTGGGGAGGAAACAGCATCAGTTGGACTGGTGTGTGTATGTCACCAGATAAATACCTCCCCACGAGGCAACTTCCAACCTCCCAACGAATTCAATCCTCCATGTGTTGTCATCCTTTTAGTAGACACAACCTGGTGGACGTCACTCCGGTCATCTGAAGAAGTGGACTGTGCCCACGAAAGCTCATGATCCCGTCGACCTGTTTTGTTAGTCTATCAAGTGCTACCAGACCATTTGTTGTTTTTTCAGTTTATCTCAGTATAGTACAAACATTCCACCATCCTGCGTATCAGTTTAATCAGACACGCCCAAAGTCTTTGTAGTTCAGAGAAAAGTCTCTCGGTTATTTCACTACAAGGGGCTTTATGTCAGGCCCAATATGGGGCACAAGAAATAACTGGCTGCTCCACTTCAGACAAGGGCTGGCAATAGATTACCTGTGTGAAAGGTGAAGTAGCATCATTACAAGGAAACCATCTGACTTTGAGAAGAAATTTTCTATTTCGTCATCCACCATGTCGGAAAGAGTAGGAGTCCCTGTTCCTTGAAGGGGAAGACAAATGAATGTGCATGATGTGACCCCCATAGTCTTCATAGCGATATTACTATGATACCATCATGGGTCAGTGATGATATCTTGTGTGTAAGATGGGTCAGTAGAGGTGTCAGTGGCAAAGTTATGATTTGCTGAACATAATTATCCTACTTCTATGCCAGTGCCATAGTTGCATCTCAAGTTATGAAGAGTGACTATGTATCTGTATTTGAAATATAGTTACGCCTCGTAGTTCACTAAAGGTAAGACGTTTTCAGCCCAGGTAGATGCTGGAGGAGGACCTATTCAAGGTAATGAGCCACTAGAGAAACCAATAGGACTTAAGAGCAGCTGATCTCCCACCTTGGGGACCTTCCTTCCTTCCTTCCTTCCTTCCTTCCTTCCTTCCTTCCTTCCTTCCTTCCTTCCTTCCTTCCTTCCTTCCTTCCTTCCTTCCTTCCTTCCTTCCTTCCTTCCTTCCTTCCTTCCTTCCTTCCTTCCTTCCTTCCTTCCTTCCTTCCTTCCTTCCTTCCTTCCTTCCTTCCTTCCTTCCTTCCTTCCTTCCTTCCTTCCTTCCTTCCTTCCTTCCTTCCTTCCTTCCTTCCTTCCTTCCTTCCTTCCTTCCTTCCTTCCTTCCTTCCTTCCTTCCTTCCTTCCTTCCTGCCTTCCTCCATCCCATTCTTCCTTCCTTCCTTCTTTCCTTTCTTCCTCCCTTCCTCCCTCCCTCCCTCCCTTTCTTACTTCCTCCCCCTCTCTTCCTTCCTTCCTTCCTTCCTTCCTTCCTTCCTTCCTTCCTAGCATTCATCTCACATACATTTCATACCCATTTCTTTATACCAATTTTCACACAGAAAGAGGCATTCTTGATTAAAAGTGGGCTTCCCCCCCCCCAAACTCACATTTCAATAAAGCATTCTAATTCCTCTACCCAATTCCCCCCTCCCCCCAAACTCACATTTCAATAAAGCATTCTAATTCCTCTACCCAAATTGTGCAACAAATTCAGCATCTTTGGAGTAGTCTCAGATCTCCTCCACTCCAATGGGAGCCAAAGCCATTTGCCCTTTAGTGATTAGGGTATTCTGTTTTCAATTCTGACTGAAAATTAGGTGGCAAAAGTTACCTCAGCAGTGAGTGGGCACTTTTAATTAGGCGGTTTTCTATGCCTCTGTTGCTGGAGAAACAAATATCAATTGTCATTCGGGGTTGGAAGTGTCAATGTTCGGCCATGGGAAATTCCTGTCTGTTGTATCTCTTTGAAGGGAGCAGGCAGCATTAGAACACCTGTATCTGTATTGCTATAATGTAAACATAAAGCTGAACGGCCAAAATGTGAATGTTCATGAGACCCGACTTCCCTCCCTAGCTAAATAGGAAGAATGCATGAATGAAAATGACAAGAAAATGAACCCCAAATGCAGTAAGCAACAGTGCTTATCTCTGCCTACATAGTGTCACCTGGGTCTCCCTCACTACAGAGAGGAATGTGTTATGGCCAGAAAAACAACACTTTTGCCAGCAAAATCGAACACGAATGAGTTGAAGAATAAAATCTCTCCGAGTCCCCCTGGCATTTTTTGTACTGTCTGCCAAGTTTGGGGTCCTGCTTTTTTGAGAAAGTGGCTCGTCATTTCCCATCTCTCCTTGTCATTGGTTAGATGTGTATTGTTTCCCTGAGCACCCATTCCCCCCTCCTGCTGTCCCCTTATGCACGAGTAGATGGGGTGCACAGACAGACATACAGGGAACGTTGGGTCCTCTGGTGCCAGCTCTTTTGGATGAATGGCTGATTTGATCAGCTCCAAAAGATTCATGACCGGTACTCCAGGGGTCTGGATAGCTTGAACAAAAATCAATTTAAATCTCTCAGGACTTAGCATCCCACCCCATTAGAACTTTTTAGACTGTCTTTAGAGCACACAGTGTGTGTGTATGTGTGTGTGTGTGAGTGATACCCACATTGAATAACTTTCCTGGATGAGGCGGGCAAGATTTCATTCACCTACACTAAAAACAAAGATATTGTGCTACAGAATATCTGTCTAACTCTCTATAGATCTCTGCATCTGTCTATTTGTCTCTCTAGTTAAAGTTGTTTCATTTCATATGAATAATGAAATAGGCATTGACACAGTGGTCTCAAATTACAGTGGGGAAGGTCTAAGTTGGATATTAGGAAAAATTATTTCCCTAGGAAGGTGGTGAAGCGCTGGGATGGGTTCCCTAGGGAGGGGGTGGAGTTTCCATCCCTGCAGGTTTTTAAGTCTTGGCTTGACCAAGTCCTGGCTGGGATGGTTGAGTTGGGTTGGTCCTGCCTTGGGCAGAGGGCTGGACTCGATGACTCCTGAGGTCTCTGCTGGCCCTGGGACTCTATGGCTGCATCTAGACTGGCAAGTTTTTCTGCAAAAGCGGCCTCTTTTGCGGAAAAACTCGCCAGACATCTACACTGGCCGCTTTGAATTTGCGCAAGAACACTGACGATCTAATGTAAGATTGTCAGTATTCTTCCGCAAATACAAGGACTCTCCTGTTTGGGAAAAAGCCCTCTTGCGCAAATGCTTTTGCACAAGAGGGCCGGTGTAGACAGCTGAGAACCGTTTTGCACAAAAAAGCCCAGATGGCAAAAATGGCGATTGGGGCTTTCTTGCGCAAAACCATGTCTAGACTGGCACGGACACTTTTCTGCAAAAAGTGGTTTTGCACAGAAGCATCCGTGCCAATCTAGACGCTCTTTTCCACAAATGCTTTTAACGGAAAAATGTTTCCGTTAAAAGCATTTGCGGAAAATCATGCCAGTCTAGACGTAGCCTATGACTATAACTCTGTAAGAGCACCCAAAGCAACCTAGAGACGTTGACTACAAAAAGGAGGCTGCAAGTTGAGTTTAGAGGCCTACAGAGTTTTGGAGCAGCCAAGTGGAGGTTTAGCGAATCCCACTGAGGTAGAATTATGGGATTGCGGCTCTTCTAATGGTCAGGAGCCAAAGGCCATTTTTTGAGTATGTTGCCTCGCATCTGGGAATAAACAATCAGGGTTCTAACCCCAGCTCCCCAGATGTGTGTGTGTGTGTGTTTACATATTTACAGTGTTGTAATTATCCATGGGCAGCATGGATTGGTTACAAAAGAAGCCCAAACGTAGCGATTCTTCTGTGTGCTACATGTGATAGTAGAATCCTAGAATTCCTGGGTGGGCAGAGACCTCAGGAATCATCGAATGCACTCCACTGCTCAATGCAGTATTATTGCATGTCACATTATTTTTGAGATGCTGGAGAACTTTCATATCCACAATGGCCCAGATTGTCTTTTCGGTAATGCTGGTGTGAAAAGAGTAATTCCACTGACTAGAGTGGGCTTACCTGACTCACTAGCTTCATGATAAATACATTGTGCTGTAACCACAATGCAAAGAGAGGAGTTACACCAGGAAAAATTTGGACCATACCACTGAAAACTCCCTGCAACTTTCTAGCAATATTTCAGAGGACACGACACGATCAGTGTTGTGGTTAATTAATACCCAGAGGCCCTAATTGCAAACCCTTCATCCCCATTGGGACATATGAGCTAAGGCACAGTTTAGAGTCCATCGAGAACTTCTTGCGTTGTGTTTGTACATCAAGAGTTTATTACCAAATTCCCCAGTTGCTGCAAAGCAACAAACTGATCAGGCTTGGAGCAGTCAGCTGGGCTTTCCAATATTTCAAATTCAGTGACTCTGGCTACTATCTAAATGTTAGTAAAACATAAGGATAATTTGATAGCTTTGGCCCATTACTTAGTGGACACATGTCTAAGCCATGGAGACAGCTCCAGACCTAAGACCTGGGAGATATGTGTGAAGCTAATCAACGGAGCATCAATGTCTTCCGATGAAGAGAGACCTGTTACTTATCGTTAGTTTTGTCACCAGTTCAGCACTGGGGAGGCCACATCTGGAGTGTTGCTTCCAGTTCTGGGCCCCCCACTACAGAAAGGATGTGGATGCCTTGGAGAGGGTCCAGTGGAGGGCAACCAGAATGATTCAGGGGATGGAGCACATGACCTACGAGAAGAGGCTGAGGGATTTGGGCTTATTTAATCTGCAGAAGAGATGAGTGAGGGGGGATTTGAGAGCAGCCTTCAGCTTCCT